GAGGAACTTGGCAAGCACAGTTACAGAAGAAACACTTGAAAAAACWTTTAGTCAGTTTGGCAAGCTGGAGAGAGTGAAAAAACTGAAAGACTATGCCTTCATTCACTTTGAAGAAAGAGATGCTGCTGTGAAGGTGTGGAGAGAGAAAAAAACAAGAGTATACAAAACAGATGTAATGAAAATATTTTTGGATTTGTTATAGTAGTAAACCTATCTAAGACATTTTACTTCTTTGATTTTCCATAGGCTCTAGCTGAGCTTAATGGCAAAGACCTGGAAGGAGAACACATTGAAATAGTCTTTGCCAAGCCACCTGACCAAAAGAGGAAAGAACGCAAAGCCCAGAGACAAGCTGCCAAAACACAAATGTAAGCAAAAACAATCCAAATCTATGTGTGGTTACAACATAGTGAAACAAAAATTATTTGTATTTTTGAAAAATTGTTTGTGCTGCTTAAGTTACTAAATTGCACTGAGATATTTTTTATCACACACATTGCTTTTGTTAGTGTTGAATCTACATATTTTTCCTCAGGTATGATGAATACTATTATTATGGCCCTCCCCACATGCCACCACCCACAAGAGGAAGAGGAAGAGGTGGGCGTGGAGGTTATTCTTACCCTCCTGATTATTATGGCTATGAAGACTATTACGATTACTATGGATACGATTACCACAACTACCGGGGTGGTTATGATGACCCCTACTATGGCTATGAAGACTTCCAAGGGTCTGGGAGAGGACGAGCAGCAAGAGGAGTCCGTGGAGGTGTGGTTCAGACCAGAGGCCGCGGTGCTGTCACCACGAGGGGRCGAGTGGGTTTCACTCAACGAGGAGGCCTCATAACAGCCAGAGGTAAAAAATCAAATCAAATCGGATGCACCATTGTGATGAACTAAAATTTTCTTGTGCAGTTAAACTCCTACCCCATTGAGTATCTTGTACCAAAAACATTAAACTTTACTTACARTCCCTGTTCAATTCCAGTCTAGAAAAACTCTCCACTTGAAAACTACAAACATTTACTGCCCCATAAGCAACAGGGGACYTCAGCATACTGCTTTTTTATTTCTTTTTTAACTGTGAGTACTCTGACCACTAAGTGCAGGGTGGGAGCATATACTTTGTGAAGACGAAAAGTAAAAAGTTCACAGCAATCACATGGATTTAAAGGGATATGTTAAAATGCAGAAGCAGTAACYTTGTTGTTTTTAAGTTTGACATTTTAGTTCATCKGTTGCCTGGACTTASAGAAATTGAGACCTGTTTAAAAGGATTGATTACTGCGATGATGTTATCTTTCAGAGCAGTTATTTTATTGCAGCAAAGTCATCTGCAGCCCAATACTTTTAAAGGCCTAACTAATGCTCATTCTTGTGGAATTCCTTATTATGACCCCGCACGCGAAGCGTAAGCAGGAGTCATATTGTTTTCGTACTGTTTGTTTTATTTCTTTTTTTTTTTCAGTGATACTTGGTCAACCGTACCACAAAAACAGCTGCACCGATCAACGTGAAATTTGGCAGGACTGTAGATG